AAGTGTAGTAGTTGTTGTTGCAGTAGCAGTAGTCTGAAAAAAGTTAATAAGCAATAAGTGATTAATAATAATGATGATGATATGACAATAGCAATAAAATGCTTAAAATATGTCAGTGAACTTCTGTTTTCATGTTTTTTTTTTATTATTATCCTTCGTTGTGATTTTATTCATAAATTATAATACACCACACACACGCACACACACACACACGCACACGCACACACACACACATATATATATATATATATATATTATTTATCTATGAATTCATTTTTCATGAATGTACTAATACATTCATCTCTTTTGTGCATACGAAGTATGAATGTATGTATGTATGTTTGTTTGTATGTTTGTTTGTATGTTTGTTTGTATGTTTGTTTGTATGTTTGTTTGTATGTTTGTTTGTATGTTTGTTTGTATGTTTGCGTGCGCGCGTCATGACGCTGAGAATGATCGTATGAGAAGTCAATTTATGGTAACATAATTTTGTCGGCAGGTCGTAAATACGCCATTGAAAGATATGGAAATCAAATGAAAAGGGCAGGGAGAGAAAGGGAGAGAGAGAGAGAGGGTGAGAGAGAGAGAATAGAGAGAGAGAGAAAAGAGAGAGAGAAAAGAGAAATGAAGAAAAAAAGATATGATGGAATAAAAGAAACCATGAAAAAATTGAAAAATTTAAAAAAGATGAAATTGAAATTTTGAAAACTTAAGAAGGTGTGTTTGTGACAGAGAGATAAGGATGAAAAGCAAGAGAGGGAAAAGAGAGAGAGTACATACAAAAAGAGAGAAAGTAAATAATTTAGAAAAATGTGATAGAAATTGTATAAAAAAGTTGAAGGATGGAAGAAATGGAAGATATGGGAAGAGGAAATGAGTAACAAAGACTCTAAAAATTTAGAGATAAATAGGAGAATGAGAAATAAAGATAGAAAAAGAAAGAGAGAGAAAGAAAGATTTAAAAAAAGAAAGAGCAAGAGAAAAAGAGAAAGAGAGAGAGATTGGGAGTTAATTTTAAAGAGTATTATTTTGATATAATAATTTTCCAAAAGGCCGCTTTGTATGGTTAGTCATGATGATGTGTGCACACATATAGATGTGTGTGTGTGTCTGTGTGTGTGTGTGTGTATTATAAAGGATATTTTAAAACGGTTTACGATGTAAATCTATACTACGTGTGTGTGTGTGTGTGTGTGTGTGTGTGTGTGTGTGTGTGTGTGTGTGTGTGTGTGTGTGTATTAATATGGAAATGTGTATCGAAATATATGTGTTGGTTAGTCAGCATTTGACAAATGATACCTCTGCATTATGTACGTATTATTGGTACTGGTATATTTTTATTATTGTTTGCGTGTGTATGTATGTGTGTGTGTATGCTGTTGGTATGTGTGTGTGTGTGTGTGTTTGTATGTATGTATGTTTGTTTGTGCGTGAATAACTCCATACAATTGAAAGTTTCTCGTCTGTTTTATTAAACTGGAAACCAGAGGCACATGAAAAAATTCGAAATATTTTTCTTACTATTAATTATTTATTGCTTGTATGTGTTTTTGTATGTGTGTGTGTGTGTATTTGTATGTGTGCATGTATGTGTGTGTATATACAAATGTGTACTATAGTTTTCTGTATATTAATTTGTACATCTAAGAGTGTGTGTACAAAATTTTTTTTATGTACGTTTGAATACAGTTGTGTTTATGCATGTGGTGTGTGTGTGTACATATGCATGTAGTGTGTTTGTGTGTGTGTGTTTGTACATATACATGTGTGTGTGTGTGTACACAAGCGTATCTATGGATGTGTTTTTTCTGCGTTCATTTGAGGTATTCTCGTGAAACAGAAAATATAGCAGGCCTAGTTCTCTAGATATGGATGGATGGATGGAATGATGAATGGATGGATTGATGAATGAAAAATATGCAGATAAATGAAAAAAACATGAGCAAACTTATAAATGAATGACTGAATGAACAAATGGAGGAATGAATGAACGAATGATTAAACGAAGGAATGATTAAATGATTGGTCAGATGTTCAGATGAAAGGAAAAATATGTTAATAGATTGATGGATGGATAGAGAGATAAAAGAGTTAAGTAGTTTATGAAGGAAGGAAAGAGCGATTAGATGAATGAATGAAGAATTATCATACTAGGTGAGCCGCACTAACAGCAGACCCTCGAATTCATTTATCAAATCAGTCTAATAAATATAATTTATCAGTTTTGAAAATTTTCGCTAAAAAGAAAAACAAATACCCTTTCAAATTTAAATTCGAAACATTAAATTTCGGCCTGAACTTTCTATACATAGTATGTAGACCAGTGTATAGACCATATCCATGGTATAGACCTGCAAAGGCGTCTTTTCTACTTACATGATTCTAATTTAATGATTTCTCAGAAGTAGCAAACGTGAGTACAGGTCTGGCATAAACTGCATGTAAAAAGCGCGGATACCTTAGCATACAATCCAGATAGTATCCCTGCCCAACCATGACAACGCCATCATTCCTTCTAAAAAATACACATTAGTACCTACCTTGCGGTTTTGAAATAAAATATTTTACTTAAGTCAAAGATTATCATTAATTTTTCTGGATTGATGTGTTGATATATTTTGATCGGATTCTTCCTTTTCGACTGTGATTTTGAAGATGTAATAATAATAACTACATAATTATGAAAAAAACATAAAATAAAAATTAAGAAAAAAATATTAAAATTACTGGCACATTATAGCAATGCCGTTAAAATTTTCAAAAAAATAAAATATTTGAATCACGCACGAGATGTTTATACGACGCATTGGCACGTTGGGGCAGCTAAGAACATGCGAAAATGTTGTTTCGCTTTGAGGCGTGTGTTTAGGGAAAATGAATGAATGCACGGATGGTTGGATGGATAAAGTATGATTAAATGGAGGAATGAATGGATGGAAAGTTGCATGAATGGATGGATAGATAGAACGAATGCATTGATTGAAAAATATATGGATGGATAGATGGATAGCATTAATGAGTAAGCTAGAGTAATGGTAATGGTGAATTATGAACGAATGCATAGTTTTAAGGATAAATGAATGAATGAACGAACGAACAAACAAACAAACGAACGAATGAATGAATGCACGGATGAATGAATAGATAAACAGACAGGAAAATTTGTTGGCAGTTATATAAATATATAAAATTAAAAATAAGGGCACAGTTAAAGAAAAATTAACCGACACATAAATTAAATTAAATAAAAATTTGGATAGCGAAATATAATAAATAACAAAATGACATAAAAATTATAAATAAAACATAATAATAATAATAATAATTTTACAAATACCTGAATCGGAAAAATAATAATAACATTAAATTTTGTAGAAAAAATTTTCAAATTTTATAAAGATACGAAATTATATAACCAACAAGAAATAGGCTTAATAATTAACTATTGTTATTATTGTTATTCGTTATTATTATTATTATTTGTTATTTAATAACGACAATTATTTATCAATAATAAAACACTTAAACGACTCATTTGTATTCATCAAAAGTTCAACTAAACTCAATAAATCTGAAAATTCAACAATTCAACCCAGGCTGTATTAGGTGATGTATTACGCCAAACCTTTTATATGTATAATGTATATATGTATACACACACCACACACACATACCACATACACACATACTGTACGTTTGTATATTTGTATGTGATGAGTTGGATGACTTGATATACTTGCTTCTTATATATATATATTTATATGTGTGCGTGTTGTGTGTGCGTACGTGTTGTTGCTTTTCCTAGAGACTTGCTTTACAAAAAAATAAAGTATGTTAAAACAAATGATTATGATAAAGAGGTTTTTAGTTGAAATCCAGATATACATTTGAACCGGCACACCACACCAGCCATGAATACTTCACCGCCGGTCATCATCTGCATTGGTTGGTTTGTTTATGCTCCCCTAATCTCGTTAAAGTTATTTTATCTCAAGAATTCATGTGTTGTTTGCGAATGTGCAATATTTAAATGCGTTGTGTGTGTGTATATGTGTGCGTGTGTTTGTGTGTGTGCTTCTTATGTGTGTGTGTTAATGTGTGTAACGCTTTCGACTGGTACAAGATGTTATTTGTGTTTTCGAATGAGGATGAAGATATATTTATTAATATGTTCCTGATATTTTTGGGCACGATGGTTTATTTTGGACGTTATCATTGGAGGCCATATTTACATGTATTATAGTTCCAGAACTACTGCTCTAGTACATTTATACAGCACTGGAAGACCTAGCGAACGTTACATAATGATTACTATGAATTAAACTGAAATAAGCTCTATAGATCGATGTCTTTGAATGTGGCCTGCTATGGTGATTCAAGCTGGTACTCTTTTTTTTTACTAGATCCATGTTAGTTCTCAATCTCCTTAATATGAAAATGTATAATTTGTTAATGGAAATTCAGACGTCTTTGGTTCATAGTAACCTCTATCGACTGAATACTCATCAGTATGCTGAACATGCACTATAGTTCGATTTTTGTAGAATCTGGCGTAGATATAGTGAGTTAAGCTGTTAGTTTTTTAATAGATTTAAATAGAGCCTAATATACTGAAGGTGAAAGTGTATAATTTGAGGATGGGAGGAAAGCATGGATATTATATATATCCATGGAGGAAAGTGTATAAATTAATTAACAACGTTCGCTAGGTAGGTGTATTCCGTTTTGACGTAACGCTGTTTTCCTCCAGTCTGAGTGTTTGCTTGCTGTATTCCACTATTCGTTCTTCATGTACATATGCATATTAATGTCAAAGGAGCGTTAGTCCAGGCGGTAGAGGCGCAAGTTTTGCATTGTCATTGTGCCTTTACCAGGTTCGAAACCTATCCGAAACGAGACATATATTATTTATAGCATGTGATGATAAGCGGATAGAACTTTATAACCTCAGGACTACCTCATGTCGTCTTTGTTTTGCAACTGCATTAAGCAAGTTACAGGATTGTGAAGGCTAAAGAACAACTTGAACGACAACTTTATCTGATTTACTGGTTTAATAATAAACTTTTATCTTTCGTTCATTCATTCGATCAGTCAATCATTGAAAGATGTAACAGAGCAGAGCTGTTGGAATAGCTATTCATTGGGCTGTTTCTATATCTCATTCTGAATCGAAGAAAAAGAAAGTTCAACAACAAAAACAACGAATACAAATAAACAAAAGAAAATTAATCTAACAAAAATAATGGATAATATATCCTAAGGCCAAAAAAAATAATTATTAATAATTTTACAAATGTATTAACTATCATAAATATTTATAACAAATTACAATTAACAAGAGTATAACAGAGAAACAATATGTATGAATGTGCGTGTGTATGTCCGTATGTGTGTGTTAGTGTATGTCTGTGAGTCTGTCTGTATGAATGTATGTATGTAGGCATGAATAATAATGTCAGTAAATTAAATTATTTAATTGAGCGAATGTTTATCAAAATACATAATACCATAAGTATTAATACTACAAATACCTGACCATAAGAAACATATTGTATGTATGTATGAGTGTTTGTATGTATGTATGCTTGTTTGTTTGTTTGTATATATGTATGTATGTTTGTATGTATGTATGTTTGTATATATACATAAATATATAGTACGTATGTATGTTTTGTATTGTATTTAAAGTTTATAAAGTCTTAAATATTTCTATAGCGAAAATTCTCATTTAATGATTATTATTAAAATATTATTAAAAAGAAATGAAATCCTAGATAGACAGACAGACAGACAAACAGACAGACAGACAGACAAACAGACGAACAGACAGACAGATAGATAAATAGATAGTCACTTAATGACATCTAATCGAAAATGGAATTGTATATAACAAATAAGTGATCAAATTCAATGAAGCTTAATTACAAACAATTGAGATATATATATATATATATATATATATATATATATATATATATCCCAATTGTTTGTATATATATATATATATATATAATATATATTATTAACATTAAATAATAAAAATATCATTTATTTAGTTATTCATTTTATTTTAAATATTATTCATTTATTTATTTTATAAAATATAAAGTCTCATAATACAAATGTTATCGTTCTAAGGCTTATATAGTGGATACGTTTTGAAATCATTGTATTCATCAGAAATGATTGCACCACCATCGCCATCATTATTTGTGGCAGTGTTAGTGTTCACGATGACGTCAAGGCCCTTCTTAATGACGTCATTGTTGTTGTTGTTGTTGACATCAGCATTGCTGTCATTTTGGTTTTGTTGGTTTATTTGATGGAAGTGAGCCCTGTGGTGTTGTTTGCACGGTGGTTGTTGTTGTTGCGATTGTTGTTGTTGTGGTTGTTGTTGTTGTTTCGGCTGTTTGGGCTGTGATGGTTGCTGTCGCATTTGCGGCTGATGTTTTTCTAATGCCTGATAATCATGGCGTTCTTGTGATTGTTGTTGAACTTTCTTTTGAACAGATAACTGGCTTTTAGCCGTTTGTTCTTTGTCCTGTTGTTTCTGTTGTCTAGCTGGAGAGCAATCGTGGCCGTGATGATGTTGCTGTTGTTGTTGTTGCTGCCCTTGCTTTAGTGGATGTTGTTCCGATTGTTGTTGTTGTTTGGAAAGTATTTGCTGTGACTCTGCCGGTACCTTGCATGACGGCTGTAGCTGCTGTTTGGGCTGCAGCTGCTGCTTGGGTGGTTGTTGTTGCTGCTGCTGCTTAGGAGTATGTTGTACAGCTACTTGTGGTTTTTTCCTGGCAAGTTGCCGGAGGCAGTTTTCGCCTGGTGTCTCCATTCAAAGTAACTGGTTTTTGTTGTTGTTGTTTGAATGTTTCCGTTTGCACAAATGGCTGTTGTTGTAGTGATTGTGGTTGTTCTTTTTGCAACGGTTGCTGTAAAAGTTGTTGCTCTCGCAGTCGCGGCTGAGACGGTTGCTGCAACGGTTGCTGTGATTGTTGTTGCTGCTGCTGCGATAGTAGATGCTGTTGTTGTTGCTGTTGTAGTTGTTGTTGTTCGATGACGTCAGACTGACCAAAAGAAAACGGAAGTAGTTCGCAGATTGTTCCTCTTTCATAGGAGCCATCAGGTCTTGTGCTGTAAACGTCTATATCCAATCCAAACTGTTTTTGAAAAGTTGTAGTGCTGGGTCTCTATGTTTGCTTGTTTGTAGTGTTTTGTTAATGTTGCGTGTGCGCGTGTGCGTGCATGCGTATGCGTGTGTGTGTGTGTGTGTGTGAGCCGTTTCAGTTGGTTAGTTTAATAAATTTTAAAATAGAGTCTAGAAATTGAAATGAACTTTGAAGTGTCTTGTCATTTTAGCATTTTATCTAATCATCATTCTTACAAATAAAATTTAGCTATCACCATCATCATCGTCGTCATGAACATCATTATCATCATCACCAACATCATCATCCTCATCACCATCCTATCATCACCAACATCATCATCCTCATCACCATCCTATCATCATCAACATCATCATCATCATCACCATCCTATTATCATCATCATCATCATCATCATCATCACCATCCTATCATCATCATCATCATCACCACAACCTCTGCAATAAACTGCCTGCAAGCACCACAGGGATATGTAAACTTATCCTGATCACTGAAGAAAGAAAAATAATATTAAATAATAATAAATAACAACAACAACAACACACGTTTAGACGAAATTTTCCCCAAGATCGGGGGTTGCCGTTTGGCTACCTATGATGAAACCGAAATACACCTCGACGCCATTCTGCTGGATACTGAGGGCCATTGTCACTTCTGTCATCATAAGTAATTTATTTGGCTAATTTTTACACAGGATGCCCTTCCTTACGCAACCACAGTTATAAGTGGTGGGCCTAGCCTTTGATGATCCAACATCACTCACAAGGCAGTGAGGGTCAGTTTAATGTCATAACCAGGACAGGAAATAATAATAAATAAATAATAAATAAATAATAATAATAAGCAACAAATTATAAAAAAAAAATTAAAAATTAAACCCCTCACACAAAATTACAAATACAAATACTGACACACAAAACCACCTTGACACGACAATGGCCTTGAATTTTCTGTGACCTTGGGAGACTGCAGTACAAATGGCTGACCTTTCGGCGCATATGGTCAGGCCGTAGGAGGCATTTTCAACATTGGTTCCTGGTGAAAAAAAAAATTGCTCAAGAAGTGAATAGTTAAAAACTTTAGACAACAATGAGTCAATCAGCCAACTACTAATGAATGAATCAATTAATCTATTACAAACCTAAAAGACTAACCAACTAACCAACCAGCCAGCCAACTAACTAACTAACAAACTAACCAACCAACTAACTAACTAACCAACCAACCAACCAACCATTAAAAATGGTGCCATCTTCACAGAGCAGTGAGCAGCCAACCCTGAACTTGCTATACTGACAGTAGGAGTTTTCCTTCACACTGAATGAGCTTGATATCAACTGGCAGAGTATATCTTCTGAGATACCTTAGTTAGATATATATATATATTATATATATGTGTGTATGTGCGCGCGTGTGTGATCATTAAATTATTAATCATAATTATTAATGAATAATCATAATAATAGGAAGATTAATCATTAACTTGTCCTAATGAATTATTAATTTTATTTACTATTCAAATAAAATTTAGAAACTAACTCATTTCAACTTTATGAGGACAATCTCTTGAAGTAATAATTTTCTAAAAATATTTTATTAAATTATTTCTAAATTAAAATTATTTTTTTAAAAGTAAAAATGAAACGTTGGCAAGCAAGAACATATGATTTAAAAAAACTGTTACAAAATATTTGAATCTAAGTTACGTTTTAAAAATAAATATTCAAAAACTAAATGTTAATTTAAGTTTAAATTAATTTTCACATTTCAAAACATCCAAGTACTACTAAAAATAATAAAATTTTCTCACGAATAACAGGATATTTTGACCAAACTTACATAATTTCAACACAAAAAATAATTTAATTAAAGCTCAAAAGCATTTATTCATTTACAAAGTTCAACACTCATCTTATATATACCATCTCAATACCCTATACTATAATATTACACCGTATATATTGCAATACCCTATTAACATACTTGCCTAATTTATGTCACGATTTGAAATTAGGACTGAGGACTTTAGAACCCAGAAGTTGATCTGGAGTGATACTTATGTAACAGAGAACACTTTTGCAGAAATTTTAAAAAATGTATCCGAAATCGAAAATAACGAAAATAGGCAAGAACAACACTTGAATATTTACCATAAATATGATGATACTATTGCTACTACTACTACTACTACTACTACTACTACTGCTGCTGCTGCTACAATTTCTACTACTACTACTACTACTGTTGCTACTACTACTACACTATAATTATTATGAATGATAAAAGTTTTTAGAATAGTTAATGGTCAATTGGAGGAGAATTTTTTTTAGAAACATTATTAAATAGCTTGGTATAATTTACTGATGTGTAAATGTGTTAGTTTATGTACGTGTGTGTGTGTGTGTTTGTGTGTGTGTATGTGTATGTGTGCTTTGAACGTTGGTGGTCAGAGTTTGAAACAAATGCGATCAATTTATTATTTACGTATGTATGGTTAAATGAATGTATGTGTATGCATGTATGTATGTATCTGCGTATGTTTGTATGTATATATGTATGTATGTTTGTACGTATGTTTGTATATGTATATATGTATAGATATGTAGGTGAGTTGTTGACAGCTTTAAAAGCTTTTCACGTAAGACGATATTTTTCGTTATCCTCTTCATCATTATCATCGTCGTCGTCGTCATCATCATCATCGTCACAGTTATCATTATTATGGTCATCATGGTAGTCATCAGCATAGTCGTCGTCGTCATCATTTTCAATCTCACTTGTAATCAATTGTGAAAATCATTAATGAAACTAAACTACAACGTAAACAGAAAAAAAATGTAGTGTACTACTACTGCTACTACTGCTGATTCTACTACTACTACTACTACCAATAATAATAATAATAATAACAATAACAATAATAATAATAATAATAATAATAATAATGATAATAATAATGATAATGATAATGATAATGATAATAATAATAATAACAATAACAATAAATAGCAGAAACATTATAAGAGGCAAAAAAAAATGTTTAATTCCGAAAGCGAGATAAACTTTTTTCGTATAATCTCAAAGATAGATTGCAGACTTCTATACCGAACGATACGATTATCAAGAACACCATCATCATCGTCGTCTCAATTGCTTACATAACGTAACATGTGCCAGTAACAGACCCGATACAATTAGATGAAAATTTAAATCGTCATCATCACTATCAACATCGTTATCGTTATTACCATGATCATCATCATCATTTTTTCTTCTTTTATAGATGAAAAATTGTGACATATGATGACGACGATGGTGATGATGATGACGACGATGGTGATGATAATGATGACGACGATGGTGGTGATGATGATGATGACGACGACGATTAACATAAAAATTATCAATGATCGCTATCAATTACTCTTAACTACGAAACACTAAATAAAAAAAATACACCAAGCTAAATTTCAAAGAAAATATTTTTGAATGAAATTAATCACTTAATTGATTTGAAGCAGGAAGTGAATACAAAAAATTAAACACATACACATGCACGTACACATACGCACACACACACATACACAGACATACACAGATATATACACATGCATTTACGTACTCACGCATAAATACCACCAGACACAACACAACAGTAATCTAATTGTCAATTCGAAATTAGCCTGATGTTAAACGTTCGAGAGAGTAATAAAAAAAACTAAGAGAAAAAATAATTGGGTCATTTCGGTACCAATTCGAACTTGTTTCTTATCAAAAATGGGTTAATTTTTGTTTTTGTTTGCCTTTAATTGTCTTTTTTGTATGCGTGTTTGTATGGACTAATTGTATTTTGTGCGTGTATGTTTGTATATGTTTCAATCAATCAACCAATCAATCAATCAATCAATCAATCAATCAATCAATCAATCAATCAATCAATCAATCAATCAATCAATCAATCAATCAATCAATCAATCAATCAATCAATCAATCAATCAATCAATCAATCAATCAATCAATCAATCAATCAATCAATCAATCAATCAATCAATCAATCAATCAATCAATCAATCAATCAATCAATCAATCAATCAATCAATCAATCAATCAATCAATCAATCAATCAATCAATCAATCAATCAATCAATCAATCAATCAATCAATCAATCAATCAATCAATCAATCAATCAATCAATCAATCAATCAATCAATCAATCAATCAATCAATCAATCAATCAATCAATCAATCAATCAATCAATCAATCAATCAATCAATCAATCAATCAATCAATCAATCAATCAATCAATCAATCAATCAATCAATCAATCAATCAATCAATCAATCAATCAATCAATCAATCAATCAATCAATCAAGCGCTATTTTCGCGATGTTCAACAGTTTTGCAAACAGATGGGTCTTGAGATCCGCTCTGAACTTCGTAAGTGATGTAGAAGTAGTCAGAGAAGGAGGTAGAGAGTTTCAAAGAAAAGGGCCATTGTTTGCATGCATTCGTAATTTGTTATTTGTGTGTGTTTTAATATAGACTAGCCAGTGTCCCCTAAGTTTTATGAACAAATGCATTGTGTCAGACGTGTGCACTTTTTGCATATATGATATACCTACATATGCTATGTTTGCCAAAAAGTTCTAATTAGAAGGGTACTGTATGAAATAGAATTTTGTTTGTTTGTGTCGTGTGTGTGTGTGTCTGTGTGTGTGTGGTGTATGGTGAGGTGTGTGCGTGTGTAATATGTGCGTGCTTATGTGGTGTGTGTGTGATTTTTTTGAAATCTTTAACCAATATTTTTTCCTTCTAAAATTATTTAATAAAATATAATAGCGCATACTTTTTGTTATGTGTTTGTTTGACTTTTAAAATACTTTATTGCAAAGAAATTAATAATAATTGATTGATTAATTAGTCCATTAATTAAATTTTAAACGAATTAAAAAGCCTTATGGAAAAAAAATTTCTCATCGCATGTTACGACTGCACTTGTATAACAAATCCGCATAGGGATTTATAATATAATAATAAGTTTTTCAAAATGTTCTTGAAAGTTTAAATAAAAATTTACGTTAGAAACAAACTTAGCAGTACCAGTATTGATTAAAATCGGGTCTAGTAAAAGCCGAGGGTGGCATTGCCATGGGAAGTCCCCGGGTGACCCCTGCTCCCTTCGTTATCGACTGCCAACCACTGTATTGTTAAAATTCTTTGAAAATTCAGTCATCACGTATTGTTTAATTACTTTTTATACTATAAAGCGCTTAATTTTATTAATGAAAATGCCGTTCTTAATGGGGAGATCGCCACAAAATCGAGCTCTTACACCCCATAATTACAGTTGTCCATGTCTGAAATGAATTCATCTAAGAAACAAATAAATAAATATAAAATTAAAATATATATCTGTATTAATTATACGTATTTTTTTAAATAATATATTTTTTAATTTTTTAGTTATAAATTTGAATTAATACTTTTTTTTACATTATTCACGTTCATAAAAATAAATAAACATCGGCGTATGTTTCGTTCAGTTTTGCTGAAATTTTATTCGGAAAAAAGTGATAATATTAAATCAAATAATAAGAATAATAATAAAAATATCTTTCTACATTTATTATTCATATTTGAAATTATTTATTTTATTTATTGCGGTTTAACGTGAGAGAGAGAGAGAGAGAGAGAGAGAGAGAGAGAAAGAGGGGGGATGAGGATAAAGATGGAGATAAGGTGTGTGCATGTGTGTTTTGGTTGGCTTGTAAGTCATCGTAACATGTGTGTACATTGTAATTAATTGTTATTTATTTCCATTTGCCGTTATTCTTTTGCTGCCTCTTTCTTTCTCTCTTTTTCTCTTCCTCTCTTTCCCTCTATCTCTGGTTCGCTTTCTCCTTTATTTTTTCTCTTTTTCATTTTTTCCATCACTCTCCTCTCTCTCTCTCTCTCTCTCTCCCTCTCTCTCTCATGTTCTCTGTCTATTTTTCATGTCTTAACGTGTCTCTATTATTATGCGTTCTCTCTCTTTTCCTCTTCTCTTTTTTTCTTTCTTTCTTTCTCTTTCTCGCTTTCTCTTTCACTATCTCTCTCACGCTCCCTTTTTCTCCAGCTCCGTTATAAATTTATAAATGTTTTATATACTTCTTCCAAAAATTATTTCTAAAAAATTGGCGTTTAATATGCTTGTTTATTAAGCTCTCTGTGCGAATTCGTGTGTGTGTGCGTGCGTGCGTGCGTGTGTGTGTGTGTGTGTGTGTGTGTGTGTGTGTGTGTGTGTGTGTGTGTGTGTGTGTGTGTGTGTGTGTGAGTAGCTCGGAGTAGAAGTGGC